AAGAGCAAAAACAGAATAGGGCTAGATTGGAAGAGTATAGACCGGCATAGTAACGAGACTAGAACACGGACGAGGCCCGTATCAGTCACACAAGGCTTGAACCAGAGGAGAGAGACCTGAGCCATCAAGGGCGCACTGAAGACCAGGCGAGAAATTACCTGCCAAAGTCTGCCGAGAGCCGAACCATCAAGACTTGAATTGGAAGAGAGTCAAGTCTAACGCAGCCAGGAGTCGAAATTAGCAAGACTTTGGAAAAGCATCAAGTCTAAAGTTGTCAGGACTCGGAATTAGCAAGACCTGAACCCAAGCCTTGAATCGGAAACACCAGTCTGAATTTGCCAAGACTCGATTTCATCAAGAGTTGAGCCCAAGCCTTGAATCCAAAAGAGCCAAGTCTAGAGCTTTCTGGACTCGAAATCACCAAGACTTGAATCCGAAAGAGTCAGCTCAAACTCGCCAGGACTCATATCACCAAGACTTGAATCCGAAAGAGCCAACTTAAACTTGCCAGGAATCAAACTTGCCAGGACTCTTATCACCAATACTTGAATCCGAAAGAGTCAACTCAAACGGACTCATATCACCAAGACTTGGACCCAAGCCTTGCGTTAACCAACCCAAGCCTGGATCGAAGACCGGACGGGCCAAACTGCCAAGACACAAAACATCTAGGCCTGAGTCCATATCCGGCTCATCCAGCAGCACCCACCCAGACTCCCCGCATGACCGGTTTCGCCGAGCTGCTGACGTTCGGCAACGCGCTCTCGCTCCGCGTGGACGGCGCCATCGGCGCCATGTCGCTTTCGCCCAACGGCCGCGACGCAGTGTTGGCCGGCCGCAAAGGCCTTTTCATCATCGACTTGGACGACCCGTTCACGCCGCCGCGCTGGCTCCACCACATCACGTCGTGGGAGGTGGCGGACGTGCAGTGGCTGCCGCACCACGCCAAGCCGTCGTGGTGCGTGCTGACGCTGAACCAAAAGGCGTTGCTCTGGGACTTGCTGCGGCCGCACACGCACGCCATCCAGAACGTGCTCCACCGCCACACGCGGGCCATCACGGACATCCACTTCCACCCGCAGGACCCCGAGTTGCTAGCCACGTGCCTGATCGACACGTTTGTGTTCACGTGGGACATGCGCACGCCGCGGCGGCCCGTCAACAAGTACGCCGAGTGGCGGGCCGGCGCCACGCAGGTCAAGTGGAACTCCAGCAGCCCGCACCAGCTTGCGCTGAGCCACCACCACAGCTTCTACTTGTGGGACGCACGCAAGGGAGCGCTGCCGTTGTTGCGCGTGGACGGCGCCCACGGCGGCAAGATCAACGGGCTCGATTTCAGCGGCCACTGCGGCCGCGTGATCACCTGCTCCAACGACAAGAGCATCAAGTTCTGGGACACGCAGAGCTTGCAGGGCGACGTGCCGCGGCCGGCCATTGTGATCCACACGGACTACCCGGTGGCGCGCGCACGGCGGCTCCCGTTTGGCCAGGACAACTGCTGTGGAATCATGCCCGTGCGGGGCGGCGACAACGCGGTGCACGTGGTCAACTACAAGGCCGAGTACGGCCGTGCGCGGTCGCTCGGCGAGACCGTGCACATGGACGCGATCGCAGACTACTCGTTCCGAGGCCATGGCGGGCCGATGAAGGACTTCCTCTGGCGCCAGCAGCACGAGCACTACGAGGGCTTTGCGGCCAGACGGGCCTGGAAGGAGTACCAGTTGGTCACGTGGTCGCCGCTGGACTTCGACTTGCGCTTGTGGCCGCACGACAAGGCCGTGTACGACGTGGCCAACTACAACCCACTGCACCAGGTGCTCCTCGAGCTGTTTGTGGCGTCGCCCGACGACACGCCGCTCACGGCGCCGAGCCCGGCTTTGTCCAACGTGGGCACGCCGGACTCCGAGCCCACCGAGGCCGGCTGTCTTGCGAAGGGCTTGCTGATCAAGTACAACTCCTACGTGGTGGAGCCCGAGTCGTCGTTCGCGGACTTTGCCAAGGAGCTGGGCGGCGACATGCTCTCCCGCCTCGCGGGCTTCGTCATCAAGAAGTCCCACAAGAGCCTAGGCCGCTCGTCGCAGTTGAACCACTTGAGCTGGATCTCCGGCGTACGCATGGGGCGCCAGACCAAGGGTAAGTCTGCGGACGTGGATGGCGCCGCGCAGGAGGACCAGGGTCCCGCCAACCTCGGCGAGGAAATCAGTATAGTGGGCCACAAGTTCTCCAAGCTCCGGTTCGAGAAAATCTCGGTCTCCACCGGCCACATTGAGATCTCGTTGCGCGGTCCGCTTCCTGCCCTGGCGGAAGACGACACAGAAGATCTCGACCTGCAGCCGAAGCCTGTGAAGAGCGACAAGGAAAAACGTGACAGCGTGTCTGAAGTCTCCAACGCGGCAGGGCCGTCGGCCGCCAATGCAACCTCCCTGAGCTCGGCTCCTGCAACTGCGGGAAATGCCCCTTCCATCAACGCCAGCATGAATGCGAGCCTGGGTCTCAACACCGGTATCCCAACAAACCAGGGCACACGCCAAACCACGACTGTCCCTGTTTTTAACCCGGCAACAAGGCAAAGCGAGGCAGCCGCAACCACCCCTGCGCCTGTTTCAACAGATCAGGCTCCCGAACAAAAGCTTATCTTCATTCGGCTCGACGTCAGGTTTCCCAGGATGTACCCGTTTCTTGAGCCTCTCGAGTCAACACACACAGGCAAGAGGCGACTCAAGCACAAGAAGTCCAACCAAATCAGGTTCGAAATCGAAGAGACACATGAGCTCACAGCTGCTATGAAAAAAGAGATGTTGCGCAACCTCGATGAGATAGCGCATTTCTACTCCAATAAATACCACAAATACTGCCTCGAACCATGTTTGCGATACTTGATGGGCGAGAAAATTGACCTCGATGATTCCTTGATGATGGTCACACGCAGCGAGGATGAAGACGACGCCCTAGACGGCACAGAAAACAGCTTGGAAGTCGGCAACGAAAACTGGGTTGATGATTTGATCGACCAACACGAGGCCGCGGCTTCCTTTGCACGTGAGATGTCTGTTTCTGCGGACGAGGATGACGAGGATGCCGACTTGATCTTTGGAAATAATGACAAAATGTCCTCCAGCTTGGAACTGGCCAGACGGGTCCATAGCAACGAAGACCCCAAGACAGCAACGGGCACCCAGAACAAAATCAAACACGATTCAACGCCTTTGCCCAAGGGCTGTGGAGCTGTTTGGACGAGGTCTGGCGAGCTTGTATGTTTTTTCCTTCCAAAAATGAACGAGAGTGAAGCATCCAAGTCGTTACAGAAACTGAGCGTATTCAAGTTTACCGAGAATGGCTTTGGACTAAAAAGCACAGAGTCTCGACACACCCAAAGCCATCGTCAATCAACATCTCATATACTGACAACTCTGGCCACAGGTGTCTACATTCCTCCAGATACGGACAGTGGGACGGATCTCGAGAATACTGTTGAATCTGAGGATGACACCTTTTCCATGAAATCGGGCAGCTCTACCTCCTCAAGCGAAAGCTTCTCAAACGATTGGGATGAAATGTTGCAGGACGACATTCCGTCTGGCTCGCGGATACACGGACTATTCAGAGGCACTGTTGCTTTGGGTAGACGGATCCGGGTTGATGAAATTAATGGAAACTCCGCAAATAGGACTATTGGGGTAAAAGGATCCGCATACAAATCTTCGGCTGTGGATGAAACGGGACTGAAATCTACAAGGAAGGCAAAGAAGGGCAAACGTGGTATTTCTGTTGTTTCTATCATTGATTTCAAGCATCTTATTCCAGAAAAATATGAGCTTGCTTGTGACTACAGGGTTTTAGGAGACTCCCCCGAGGTACTTGCACGACACAATAGCGAAGTTGCTTTTCATCATGGCTACGAAGAAATCGGTAGCGTTTGGAGAATAGTCGAAATGCTTCTCGTGAAGGAGGTCAGGTTGAGAGACCTAACCGAGGTTGGAAAGGACTTTTTTCACGCACGTAGTGGAACAAGCTGCGATTTTTATTGGGGCAATCATCCTATGGGGCACGCCTGGATGATCAAAGAACTTTTTAACTATTTTGAAAAGAGAGGGAATCTGCAAATGCTTGCTATGCTTTCTTGTTTACTCTTTGAAAATCCTCTCAACATCCGAGCGAAAGATGATGGAGCACTCGACATCCCTATTCATACTCCATACCCATCGTTACCTCCCATGCCCTCTATAGCTCTGATGAGGGAACATGTTATCGTTTCATCAGAAGAGGCAAACACTGGAAATGAAAGCTCGAAAAGCGTGGGGACAGACAGGCATCGGTCTATCTCACGAAAGCCATCTATTATGAGCACTCATTTCTCCAGACCTATTTCTCCAGATTTCATGAGACGCAGTGAGTCTCCTTCCGCATTGGCGTCTCTGAAATACCCACCAGGCGGCTCCTACCAGCTCAGCTCACCGCCTTTGATGGATCCTTTTTCACAGGGTATAGCCCCTGACCGAAATGCGAGATCTTTCGAGAATTCAAAACTCTTTTCTCGCTTCTCCGCAAATGCTCGAAAAGGTAGCAAAGGCGTGCTCCATAAAGGAAGAAGCCTGATGGCGTTTCATGGTCATAGGGAGAAAGTCAAGCTACCACCACTGTACACGATAGAGATCAAAAATGTCGAGCTGCTAGATCTCTATGAGAACAAGTTTTCTGCGCATTTACTAGGAGGAATTGACCAGAATAAGATCATACAATACAGGGAGCAATACGCAGAAATGTTGTACACCTGGGGTCTTCCTTTGAATCGAATCAAAATATTGAAGTTCAACTATCCGCAAGGTTCTGCCAATACTCAAACGAACGCCGATTTCGACGTTCATGAGTGCTCGTATGGATCTCGATACAGAAAAGCATTCAGTAACAAGCAGCTGCTACTCACACCAATCACATCGATTCCGACGGCAAAGGAAATGCATGGAACACACAGAAGCGCAATGTACTTCAATACTGCGGCTACTGTGGGTTAATTATCTCAAAAAGAGTCGTTATTTGTACAAAATGTGAACATATCATGCACTCACATTGCGCAGCAGAGTGGTGGACACCAGAAAACACACACGATTTGCCTGAGGAATGTCCTACAGGCTGCGGCTGCTCGTGCATGGCAGGTGAGTCAAAGTAATAACACTATGGAATACGGGTTGGTGTGATTTGGTGTTTGAGAGTTTCATCCCATTCAGACACAAGCTTGTCCATGTATGCAATTACATCCTCAGCACCTGTGGGGTCAATTTCGGCTTTGTCAATGAATTCTTTACCCCAGCGATCGCACGAAGAGGCCAATTTCGCGTCTTGTTCCTTGTTATTTAATGCCACACAGACGGGTGAGTTTGCCGCAGTATACCCAGAGATGTTATGGATCTGGGAGCCCATGAATCTGGCCATGTAGAACATGAACATCATTCCATAATAGGTCAAGAAGTTCAAGTATTGGAAAAATGAGAAACTGGTGAAAATCCCTGGGTGCACCACGTACGAGAGGATTCCGTGTTCACTCTTCAACTTTTTATACGAGCCAGTGTGGATCAAATCGACCAAACGTTTAGATCCCTCGTAAGGTTCATGAGATTTGAGAAGTTGAAGGTCGTTGAACGACAAGTACTCAGGCCCTGACATAACTGAAGAGATCCAGATAATTCGGCCACCACCTGCCAAAAGTGCCTTGATTTTGTGCAAGAAATAGTATGGCCCAAAAGCATTTCCTTGGAAAACAAGTCCCATGTCGTCATCTGATTTCACGCCAATGCGCTGAATTTTGTACGTGGGAAAAGTGACAGCATCGAGCAAGTTGGTGAATATACACTGGAAGGCGGCAATCCAGTCGATACCACTATAACATCCCTGAGCAGCATTCACGAATACAAAATCTATATGTTGGAACTTCTTCTCCAAGTCATAGTAGGCACCAAGAATTGACACCATGTTCGTGAAATCCACAAGAAGATAGTCGAATTCAAGAAAACCGGTGCGGTGTGGTAACTTTTCTCTGGCATGTTTCTTGATTTTAGAGATCACATCCTGGACTCGGGGAAGCGTTCGGGATGTGACGACGATTGTAAGATTTGTCGATGGAGAAATCTCGTCAAGAAGCCTGTAAGCGATGTTGATACCGAGGTTTGAATTCGTGCCTGTGATGACTGCGACTTTGCCTTCTCTCATTTTGTATATGTGTTTTCACTAATTGACTCTCGAGCTGAACGATTAGATAGTGGTCAGCGTATGTGATATTTAAAGAGGTGGAAGTTTGTTTGGCCATGCACTGTGCATATACGGTAAACGACGTAAAGTAGTTCGCGCGCACGATGCATGGGGAATATGTAATATTGAAATATCATCTAGTTGCATGCAAAATATGAATGATTCGTTTCTAAATTCACCAAGAGAAATAGAGAGAGTTGGGTCATATATCTACTGGGTTTCCGGGAAGAAGCAAGAAACCTGGGCACTTATATATACGAAAAAGCAAAAAAATAACGACAACTGCAGGATTCGAACCTGCGCGGGCAAAGCCCAAAAGATTTCTAATCTTTCTCCTTAACCGCTCGGACAAGTTGCCTCTTTCGTGTCATTGAAGATTCCAGGTTGGTCTAGTTCATACTATGCCCTACCTGCATGGAACCCTCGCAGATATCCTGTAGACTGTTACACAGACTATGTAGGACTAACAATAAGAGAGGTTGAAGTATTTAGAATCTAGTCCTAGTTATCCTTGAGAGGATCACGCTTATTTAGCGCCAGTTCGTCTAGAACTATTACACGTTACTTTTATCCTTAAGGTTATAGTAATTGTCCCGAATACGCTCCCGTACTCCTATCCCCTTGTTCCCGTTCCGGCTTAAGACCGAAGTACCTGAAGGTAAGCCAAGCCTCTGAAGAAGACCTTGAGCATTCTACGAGACATCCAAGAGATACGATCCGACGATCTAGTTTACAACAATATTCGATATAACGTCCAATTAACGTTATATTGTGAAGGAATAACATCAAGATTAAATATATAACAGATGTGGAACTTCGATAGTCTCTTGAAAGGCTTAATATAAGCAGGGAACGCAAATCAACAGTATTGAATTATCCACAGGGACCTTTTAGATCTCGCACGGCGCCAGCGTATTTGGGAGCTGTTCAGAGGAGTTTATGTTACTTTATGGTTTTGTTCTTCGAATTAGATAAAATCACCTGCATATAACTATCTTCAAAGAGAAACATGAACAGTGTTTCACAAAGAACATCAAGATATCACACAAATTTTGTCCTAGCGTGCAATAATGGATCATGCTGGGACTGGCAGAAGGTTCTGAAATAAGTTAAAGATCTATGACTTCTATAAGATGCCTCCAAAATCACAAACAGACATACCACTTTGAGTTGCTTCGAACCCATATTTGAGGACCGTCCAGGCCATGATTATCGAATTGAGACGCCAGCACTAGATACTTATCTGGGAGCTGTTTGTATGTTTTTTTATGCCATATGTTATTCTATATTGTTGTCCATTTGACCAGAGGAAAGTCATCGGTCCTAAAAAACTACTTTTGTAAATCTGATTATAGAGAGCATGACATGTTCAGCTCATAATGTTTTCCATATTTTCGAGAGTGGACACGGTTTACTTTTTTGCGATCTAAGCTGTAGTTGATGCTGACGGACATGATTACGTTGCTAAGAGTCAAAACCAGCAAACGCATTCCTAGATTTGGTGACTGTTCATCTGATTCACTATATCAATGTCTTTTCAGCGAGTAATTGCATGCAAAAATCGAAGTGAACAGTGCGCATACCTTTGAAAGATTGTAGGTTTCAAACTTTCTTTGATGTTTCAGCATTTGCTGTAACGCGGGCACATGTCTCAAGTTTCATCTTCCAGCAAAGGACTGTTTCAGAAACCTGTGACTGAATCGAAACCTGCCATGTGTGAATATATGAAACACGTCTACGCGCTCGGCATGTTTCAGAAGTTTGCGCTGCCGCGAATTTCTGAAACGAGCAGGCACTGATGGGTTCGCGCGCAATATAGTTTGCAAGCACACACACCCCGCATTCACACATGTTGGTGCTTCACGCAAGAGAAGCATGGGCGATGCCGATGACCGCAGATAACCTGCGTTTTGAGTAGTCTCAATAAATACTGAGGCTATCGCTTTCTCAGACAATCGCTTTGAGCCACAGGACTTCATAATATATGAAAATGAGTTCCAGGAAAGTCGTGTTCAACATCAGCCGGTCATACGAGACAAAGCAGGTCTTGGGTGAAGGTGCTTATGGAGTGGTGGCGTCAGCAGTGCATAAGCCGACGGGCCTAACTGTGGCCATCAAGAAGATCGAACCTTTTTCGAAGACAATCGTGTGTCTTCGTACTATCCGGGAACTCCACCTATTGAATTTTTTTCGCAATCACGAGAACATTATTGGGTTTTACGATGTGCAGCGGCCCAAAGACTTTGAGTCGTTCAATGAGGTGTACTTGATCCAAGAATACATGCCCACAGACTTGCACAAGCTCAACCATTCGCTGGATATTCTGGACAAACACATCCAGTACTTCATTTACCAGATTCTTCGGGGATTGAAAACCATCCACAGCGCAAACGTGATTCACCGCGACCTCAAGCCCCTGAATGTGCTCGTAAATTACAACTGTGACGTGAAGATCTGTGATTTCGGCTTGGCCCGGATTATGGGGTCGACGATGCTGCCGCTAGAATCAAAACTCACCGAGTACGTCGCCACACGCTGGTACCGGGCGCCCGAAATCATGCTTCTGCAGTCGATGTACACTACTGCAGTTGACCTCTGGTCCGTGGGGTGCATGATGGCCGAGCTTTATTTGGGATACCCGCTATTTCCCGGAAAGGACTACAAGCACCAATTGCTCCTCATATTCCAATATTTGGGCACCCCGGAGGGCGAGGACTTGGAATGCGTCAAACTGCCCAGAGCAAGAGACTACATCCAGCTGTTGCCTCGGCAAAGAGCGGTCGATGTTTTCCTGTACTTCCACAACCATCCTCGCCGCATCCAGAGGTTCGGCACCGCGACCATAAATCCACTAGGGCTTGATTTGATGACGAGGCTCTTGACGTTTGACCCCGAGAAACGGATCACTGCCAGCGAAGCGTTGAAACATCCATACCTAGAGCAATACCACGACCCGTCCGACGAGCCCATCACTAAAGTGAAATTAGAGCCCGACTACTTGGACCAAAAAAGCAAAAGCGATCTCAGCATCGACGCGTTGAAAACATATTTGTATGACGCAATTCTCGAGATGACGCGGTCTCGTCTCAAATAGAGTGGTGGTATGATGAATGTATGATTTTCGACACAGGAGAGTAAGCCGCATTGAAGGGGGGATGATCTATAATTTCCCGGGTTGGAAGCTCCGGAAGCTGTGCTAAAGCGCAGGAAGCGTCTATATCTGATGTCGCCACGTTCAATATCTTAGCCACCGATCAGTCACGTATTGTGCCATTTTTGGACCTCATTTGCGGCTCGATACATAGTTTTAAACCTCGTAACTGTTTGACTATATCAAAACTACCTAGGTCAAGAACCGGAAGTCTTCTTTCACGGAAAGCCCGTCGTTTCCCTTGCCAAGCTCGCGCTCCCAGTTCATCGTACCATTTTCGATCGACTTGTTCAAAACGTGTAGTCTCCATCTCAAGGCAATGGCGCACAAGATTGCCAAAGCCAAGAACACTATGTTACATATGAAGGCAGTGGTGTAGCGGGGCGCAGAGGAGGACGAGTACAAATAGGCGTTCCAGATGGACGCCGAGTTTGATAAGCAATTCATCAACGAGAGCGCAATGGCTCTTTTCAACGGTGGCCTGGGACACGAGTTTGACATCCACGAAAGAATCGTGGTGAACGAGCAGTAGAGTGAAGGCACCATGATGACCATGGCAAAGTACCGTGCACCCGTGTTTAACGTTGCTACCGCAATTATGAACGAGATGATGGAAACCACCATTGGGCCGACAACATGCCAGAATCTCTCGCCTGTCTTATCTGCGTGGCGGGCCCAGAAAAACGTACTCACCACGGCAAGCAAATACGGGGGCGCTGTCAAACATAGAGTCACAACCTTACTGAAATTCAAGGTTTCCACAATGGAAGGAAAGAAATTGGTGACGCCACAGGCAGCCACCAACCACGAAAGAATCCCCACACAGGCCCACACCTTGATGTCGCTGATACATAATTTGAATGCACCCCAATACGTTTCTGTGTTGATGGAGTCCGAGTCATCCTCACCAATCTCAGCTCTGATTTTGTACAAAAGAACTTCCTTCTCGAGATCTGAAAGCATCCTAGAATTTTGGGGCATGTCAGGCAACACCCAGTAAGCCAAGGGCGCAATGCCGACGGTAATTGCGCCCTCGATGATGAACAACCATCTCCAGGACCGTAATCCCCTTACATAGTCCATATTCTCGATGATTCCTGCAGCAATAAGACCAGAAAAGGCACCCGAAAGCAACGAACCAGAATACAACAATGAGTTTCTGAGTGAGAGCTGGTTTCTTGTATACCAGCAGGACAAAATGTAGAGGGCACTTCCGAAAAAACCTGCCTCCACAAACCCCAAAATCAATCTTATCGCAAGCAAGCCTCCAAATCCCTGTACGGCTGCCGTGCAAGTGGAAACCGTTCCCCAAGAAACCATAATACAAGTGATGAAAACAGACGGTTTTTTGTACTTGTTCAAAAACATGTTTGCCGGGATCTGCATGAGGATGTACCCAACAAAAAGAATGGAGATGCAGATTTGATACTGGTTACCCTGGAGCCCCAAATCAGACTCCAAGCCCCCCAATCGGGCACTGGCGATGTTGTTTCTGTCCAAGTAATTCAAAATGTATAAGAGCACGAGCATGGGAATCAACCTGATGTCCACTTTGCGGGTGATTCTCCGATGCATGTCCTCGAGTTCTGCCTCGCTGAATTTTTGCAAGGACTCGGGCTTGGCCAATTCTTTTCTTTGTGAGTCTGCCGTCTCCACATGGCAAATTTGAGCCTTTTCTTCATCGGCTATAGAAATATTAGACATGGCTTTGTTGCTGCAAACACGAGTGTAGTGATTTTCGCTCTAGATGCGGTTGCTTCGAGAGACCAAAAAATGTGCTGTAGCTTTCCAGATCTTTGGGAAAAGGTAAATGTGAGTGAGATATTGGTTTTCCTCCCCAAAGGCAGATTACGGGCCTTATAAAGGGCATATTGCCAGTTGATTAATAGAGATCTGAGGGCGAGAATGCTGCAGGGCGTGCATGCCGTCCATAGTCAAAACCGCTGTATACAGGCCACATGGTGGGGTGCCTCCCAGAAGATAGGCCATTGCGCGTCGTGGGGGAAAGATCCGACTATAACCCAGATTTTTGGATGATGTGCAATCGCAGACTTCTTGTTGTATATAAGAAACTGACGGTATCCAGATCCAAACGGGTTTCAGTATGACTCCCTCGACCACTAGTGGTAAGAAACAGTAGTATGAGATTTGTGGAGCCATACTGTAATACGCCGTTTTGCATGCGGGCGTGGGGGAGCACGGAGAAACGCGTTGTGGATTCCGCGTGGAGGTGGGGGTCATATATGAATTGCCGTTTCGACTTGCCCCATGATCTGTGTACCGGGAAAAATATGGGGATTTCACGCAATTGCTAGTGTTTAGGATCTTGTGCATCCACCCTCTTTTGAAAATGGTGGAGGGGATCGGCACAAAGCTTATTATCATTGCTGCCAACGTGATTCTATAGCATATTGAGAGAAGCTTACACCCCCAAAAATCTGGGATTTTGACTGTTTCACTCTAACAAGTGGATCCACATCGGGGAAATCCATTGCCACATGCTGAAGAATCCTGGCTTCAGCTTCTCTTGCCTGCGGTGTGCATACAGACCCGTTGCACTGGCAGCGTATGGGGATAAGACTGGCGAAAGAATACTTCCGATTGAAAAAAAAAGAATCTTAAGTAGAAGGAACAAGTATTTTCTTCCGGTACTGCAAGCTATTCTTGTACGGTATCGTAATTCAGTATTTCTACCGAAAAGTCATTTAAAAGCTGAAAAGACTCTTCTGACAAAAATGAATGCGAAAATGACAAAAAGATGATAGCCTGCAATGACCAAGGAGAATGCAGAAACAAAGACAAACAGGAGTGACACACTAGAATGACATACAGCAAGACCAACCATGGCAAATAGAAAAAAAACTTAAAACAACTACCGTTTTTGAAAAACACCGCCTTTCTCAACTTTGGCCTGCTTTGCTGGTATTCGCAATTCCTATTAAAGACCCGCGGCACAAGCACCTCAGCAGAGCAAAGACAATTTCGTCTTTTCCCAGCAATTTTTTCCAGTCCGCAAGTAGCAGCCACTTTCTTGAAAACCAGACCTGGCTCCGTCAGCCAAGCACACCCAAAAATGCACACCTCCCAAAAAAACAAACATGGCTAATTTCCCACGGCCAGCCTGCGTACGCGAGCACCGCGTCACGTGACACGCAGTGCGACCCCCAGGGTAGTACTAAACCACCAGAACCACCAGCTGATCTGGCTTCACCGCTTCACCACACCCCATATTCTTGCCGTATCCTACCATATTTCATCAAAGTACAAAGTTACAAAAAGCCACGAACCGCAAGATCTATAAATGCCACTAAACCACCAACACGGCAAGTCCGCACATCCAGATCAAGGCCCTTTTCCGGGCTCGCCACAATATGTGGCGCGTTCTCTGTCTGCCACACTAGCCGCCAGAGCTGCAAATCCACAAACTGAAAATAGCCTGGATCTCCAAACCCACGCCGTTTTGCTGCCTGACGAAGATGACGTCATGGACGACTGTGCTGCCGGAGCCAGCGTGCTACATTCTGCGCACCCGGGCTCCGAAAGCGAACATTACGGCACAACGCCTGCCGAATACCCCGAATCCGGGCCCGAAGACGCACACGCCGGATATTCCGATACCGGGGACCACACCGGTACTTCTTTGGATCCGCTGGCCCGCGGGGCGGGGGAGCTGGACGAGGCACAAACGGCGTTTGCCGCCGGGTCACGTGACACCGGCCTAGGCATCCGCCGTGTGCCCCCGGGGCTGGAAGGGGGCATCGATGATGGAGACGAGAATGACGACGACGACGATGACGACGAAGACGAAGACGAAAACGACGAAGACGAAAACGACGAAGACGAAAACGACGAAGACGAAAACGACGAAGACGAAAACGATGATGATGATGACGATGACGATGACGATGACGACGACCTTGACAACGACGACGCCGCCGACGAGCTCTTTGGGCTCATGTCCGGAGGCACGCGGAGGCCCGATTTTCTCCGGGATTTAATGGAGCGCAACCGCGCCGGCAGCGGCGCATCGCACCCCCATGGCATCCTCGAGGTCATGCTGCGGCTTGTAGACGGGTTTGAGGGCCCCACCTTTGGCCGCCAGCACTCCGAGTTCGATGCCTTGGTCAGCAACATCTCGCAGCGTGATGACACGTATTTGATCCTCGAAAGCATCAACGAGCTCTCCGAGAAGTTGCTCATGATGGACGGCATGACCGCCGAGCGCGTGATCCGGCCAAATCAGCTTGCTCGCGCGCTCGTAGACATTCTCAACGACCCAGCCTTGGTGGAGGACCTCGAGCTCCACTTGGTCACGTGCCGCTGCCTCTACAACTTCATCGAGGTGAACGCGGACTTCATCAATGACGCGCTCAATTGCGAGGCAGTGGAGACGCTTGTGGCAAAGCTCTTGGAAATCGTGTATATTGACTTGACCGAGCAGTGTCTCCAAACGTTGGAGATCATGTCGCGCGACAAGGGAGCCCATTCACTCATATTGGCGAGCGACGGCTTGCGGGCTTGTTTGCAGAACCTTGACTTCTTGACGATGCACTCGCAACGGAAGTGCTTGCAGATCGTTGCGAATGCGTGTGAGGATATCCTGGCAGTGTATTTCGACTTTGTGCTGGACCAGTTCCAGAACTTGGTCAATGTGGCCGAACACCACGACGACGCCACAGTGAAGAAGAGTGCGTGGCTTGGCGTCTCGCGCATCATTGACAGCTTCAAGGACAAGCCAGACTTCTTGGAAAAATTGTTTTCGAACGACGTCCTTCTTCGTCACATGTTGAGTGTGATTTGCGACTCCTGTAACCCCTCGAACACTGATGTTGGCCTCAACTTTCACTCCATGATATCGTTGCTTAAGTCGCTTATCATTCTCATCTCCACTTCGGTGAAGATCTCGAGCCTTCTTCTTCATTTGGGCATAGGTGACTACATCAAAAGCTCTCTTGACAAGTTCAAAAAGAATGATGACACGAAAACGCAACACACTGCTGAAATCTCAATTGAAGCGATGATATCCTGCTCAAAGGATCTCTTGTCATTATTTTTGCACGTCATTGCCTATTTATCACCCATAACCTATTCACCCAAGGACACTCCGTTCTTGCCTGACGACGAGAAAATAAGCCAAACGAAGAATCGAATTAATTACGACAGAAACTTGCTGTACAGGAATGAAGATGCAGATGCTTTTCGGAATTTCACAAATCAAGTGTGGCCTGTCTTGATCGGTTCTTTCCAGGCCACCATGGACTACTCGATCAGAAAACAAGCGCTCATATGCCTTTCTCGAATGGTCTCTTTTGCTGATCCCGAACTGTTTGGCAAAAGAGACATGGACTCTTTGTTCGGCATACTTACTTCTATTGTCAGCAGCGGAAAAAAAGTTGTCTCTGATGCATCTGTGACTCCCTCATTGCAAGAGCGGTCTATGAACGGGTCTGTTTTATTGCTACTGGGTGCTTGTGTGGTGACACACAACATATTATTGAAGTCTCAGCTATCTTGTGTTCCTATCCTAGAGAGAGAAGGTGTTTTCAGTGACTTGGCTCAAATTTCTGAGTCTTTGCGAGCTGCAGGGCTACACGCGCCTGATAGCATTGTCAATGATAAAGCTGAAGGAGAGGTAAGATTTAGTCGGTTAGCGAACGTTTATCAGCAGAAATTTGCTGATAGAGAACTCGTGGATCTTAGTCTGCGTATGGAGCTTACTTCAATTTTGAAGTACTTGGAATCCGTGGCAGTGGCCATCAATCACTTTCGAGAGGAATTTTCCCAGTTGGGAGATAGTCTTACCTCGGAAAACAATAAGCTTGCACTGATTGTAAACACGCTAAAAGTTGCAGTGTCAAACTCTGCTTACACCTCCGATGATTGGAACTCGCTTTGGTCTAATCTAGGAGAAGCTTTGAGTTCAAGCGAAGGCGGTATCTCGAGCTTTGAGTTATGTTCACTGGGTCTCTTGAACCAACTTACACAATTGTTTCAAAGTCAAACTCATTCGGAAAGTTACAAAGATACAGCCACAAAAACTTTCATTCAGGCTTTTTACAAGGAAAGCAATAAACTTGAAAAACTCATAGCTCTTCTTCAAGACTCATTGACACGCGCCGAATCTTTTGAGGTAACGTCAAGCGGTGTCACGAATCCCAGTGGTACTGAGAGTGGCTTTGCATCCTTGGCTAAGCAAATTAAGATCAAACTAATCCCAGAAGATGAACCTAATGCTTCTGTAGCTCGGGACTCAATTATTGTTTCAGTGCATGCCATTGCGACCTTCAAAGCTATTGAAAAATTCTTGAAACAGAGAAACTTTTTCTCAGGATTGGCAAGAAATATTGAAACTAACTCAGAACGAAGCCTGCCTGAAAACGCGGAGGACATTCCAGAAACCGAGTTTGTAATTGATGGCTCACGTATTTCCAAAGAATCAACAGTTTTTGGTACTGTGTTCAGGTCGTTACACAAGTCATCTCTAAAAAAGGTTGAACCTTTTGACATATGGGTAAAGCCACACGAAGTATACTACAGATCGTCCACAAATGATAATGTTGATGTTGCTGCTCCCGAGGTTGAAGATTTTAAACCAATAGACCCCAACACAAAGGTGCTTTTAGATCTTTTGCGCACATTTTTTAAGATAAATGAGTCTGTGGAAAAATCAAAGAAGTATAAAGCCCTTCCTGCTGAGGTATTCATGAATTGGAAGTTGACTGTGAAACTAAACAGACAGTTGGAAGAACCATTAATTGTCGCAAGCGGGTCTATGCCTTCTTGGACAATCGCCACAACGAAAAATTATTCATTCGTGTATCCGTTAAACACGAGAATGTTCTTTTTGCAAAGTGTTTCATTTGGTCATTCACGCTTGATCCATACTTGGAATAGCCGCGCAATCAAAGACAAGGCAGACAGTGGTAATGATAGCACTTCAGGATCCAATGGCAGCTTGCTGCTTGGAGCCCCCATGAGAACAAAAGTTAGACTATCAAGAGACACAATCTTCAAAGGTGCGATCAAGGTTCTTCAGCAGTACGGACTGCTGCCAACTATTCTTGAAATTGAGTATTACGATGAAGTTGGTTCTGGCTTAGGTCCAACATTGGAGTTTTATGCATCGGTCTCTAAGGCATTTTGCAAAAAGGAATTGCTGATGTGGCGGCATAGTGAAATCGATGGTGTGTATGCGGCCAGCACCCAAGGTCTATTCCCATCGCCTATCAGTGTGATGGGGAACGACGAGAAAGAAAGAAAAGTGTTGTTCCTCTTCAATATGCTTGGGGTCTTTGTTGCCCGTGCGTTGCTCGATTCAAGAATCATCGACTTCAACTTCAACACGTTGTTCATTTCACTCATTCAGGACCCTCACTTCCTTGACGATATCTTTATGAACAAAAAAGACGTGTCCGAGATGATTGAAGTTCTCCGGGACGTTGATCTGGATTACGCAAGAGGAATGCAATATTTGACCAAATTCTTGTATGATTTCAGAGGGACGCCAGATGATGACCGTGTTGAATTTGATGGAACTGAATTATCGGACTTATCGCTTTACTTCACTGTTCCCGGCTACGCAGATATTGAACTCGTCGAGAATGGAAGTAACATTGCCGTGACGCCGCAAAACCTTGAATCGTACATAAGGAAAGTCACCGAGCATTTGTTGTTGGGTGGGATTGGAAAGCAGGTGCAGTCTTTCAGAGAAGGGTTCACGTCTGTATTCCCCATCGAATCTTTGTCTATCTTCACAGCAAAAGAGCTCAAAGAAATATTCGGAAGTGGCGAAGAAGATTGGTCACGACAGACCATTTCTACGTCAATCAAGGCAAACCATGGCTTCTCTCAAGACTCAAGAGCCATAAATATGCTTGTGAATGTTCTTCAGGAACTTGACTTATCTGAAAGACGAGACTTTCTACAATTCTTGACCGGTTCACCAAGGCTTCCTATTGGGGGATTCAAGGCAATGCGCCCCGAGTTCACTGTGGTTAGAAAACACCCAGACGCTGGACTTTCAGGAGATGATTACCTTCCTTCTGTTATGACTTGTGCAAACTACCTCAAGCTCCCAGACTACAGCCTGGAGCACCTATTGAAGACTAAACTCTTACATGCGATCCGCGAGGGTGCTGGTGCTTTCCACTTGTCATAGGTTCTCGGACCTGCAACCAGTATCTGGAAGTAGCACTAACAATTGAGAGTGCAAAGAAGTATAAGTCCAAATTTAAGCGTTTCAGTATTAAGGAGAACATGGGAGATATATGATGTGACGAAATTTTAATTAAAATATGAATGGAACAAATACGCTTCGGCATTTTAAGTGCTGTATTTCCAGGATAGCGGGCGTGCACAGTGACTTTGACTTCTGACCTGCACCAGCACTCCACTCAACACAATCTCCAATATTGCGCCTTCCTTACAATCAACAAAACGATTGCCATGTCCGTCACTCTTAACGAAATCGTGAGTAGCTTGGTGGAAACTGCCCCTACTGGCGAGATAAACGAAGTGAAGGCCGATTTGCTTGCTCTTGCTTCCGATGAGAACCGTGCAACAATCAACGATGCCTTGGATAGTCAGATAGATCAAAATGGCCTTATTGTTTCGGGGGAATTGATTGCAAGCAAACTAAACAAGGACCCCTCGTCTTCGAAATACTGGGACTACATTGAAAAAAGAAAGTTTAATGTTGACTTGGACTCTAAGAAGGCCATTGACATCGAGTCCGCAGAGCCTGGGGTGGAGTACCCCAGCTATTTCGATAAGCTCGTTGAGTTGCTAAAGCAGTATGGAGAGGATCACTATCCTTCCGAATATGCATTTTCTGTTATTCCGGAACTGGCAAGTTCAGTCAAAATCGTCATAATAGGACAAAAGTTGAACAAGAATAATTTCTACACTGGTATCTGGAAATCTGTTTATTCTGTGGACAGTGAAGGCACCATTGAAGGCAGCGTAAAGTTGGATATTCACTACTACGAGGAAGGCAATGTGAGGCTTGAGTTCGATGAGGCCACGCCTACCAGCCTGATTAAAGAGGTGTCTGCGTCTGCTATTGTGAACGTCATCAACAAGGCCGAGAACGAGGCGACAATGAAAATCCTAGGCGACTTTACATTGTTGAACCAGAAGTACTTCAAGAACTTGAGGAGATTGTTACCCGTGACCAAACTGAAGATTAACTGGGGAAAGGCGATCGGGGCCTATAGATTGGGCTCTGATGTAGTAAACAAGAAATGAGGACGTCTCCCAAATCGAGCATATATATGAATCAGCTATCTTTCAAGGATCTGTAGCGCTCTCTATACTTGAGATAATACAAGGGCTTTGCACCCCAACTACCGGAGTTTAAAAAGGGTCATCACCACGAAAAACACAGCCAATAACACCATTACTATGCGAGTCAAACTGGCATTTCTGCTCATGACAGTCTGCAAGTCTCCACTGGTTCGTTTCACCTTTGTCCACAACTGGCCAAAACTATCGTTTAGAGAGTCTAAAGTCAGCATTTCCAGCTGAACCCGGCCGTGAATATCTCTATCCACGGTGGTTCGGAATTGCTGTAGTGTTTGGGAAAGCTGGTCAAAACGCTGGTTATTTTGCTCCTCTCTATGGCCGTATAAATTTGACATGCTATGTGTGGGTTTGAAGGTGGGCTTATAGTGAATGACTTGAGTCGAGACGTAGCTTCCAAAATGGGCCACCCTGTGCAGGTCATTGGACGATTGCCATGAAATTCCATCCCACGGTTGCATCAAGTAAGGTCATTCTATGTGATTTAATTTCTGTTCAAAACTAGTCATAAGACCGATATAGCGGGGCTCCTTCTTATATATGTCTTTTCATGGAAGAAAAGTTTTTGCAGAACTTTGACACTTTTTTCCCGCATAGTAGTATGATGTATCGACCGTTTTATTCCTTAAACCTGGAAAGGGATAAGTCTTGATAAATATGTCAAAGCTGAACAAACAGCAAGTTAGACCCATAAGTCACGTTTGAAGACATCACTCAAGGCGGCGAGATTGCGGCCCATTTCTCAATGTCAAGGTGAACATCAGAGAACTAATTTGGGGCCAGGACCTGATTCATGTCAAAATGATGACACTCATATATAGTTCCATATAAGCCTTATTTTTGTAAACCCGGATATTATGGCGACACAGGTGACCAGAAATTAACCTATGCAAGTCTCGTCAACTGTTCCCTAAATGCTATAGTGAGCCTCGGCTCATATTTTAAGGATCAAAAAATGGAATAACTAGATGATTCTCAGAAATTCATGTTGAGTTCAAGCTCGAAGTGTAGGTTTGGCATCCGTTATTGCCCGAAGGGATTTGATTCAACCAACGTTTGACGCAAAAAAGGGATTCACAAAAAGTAATATTCAGGTTCTCAGACAAAATCTGAAGTCGGAATCTCGCGTGAATGCCCAAAAAAGATGATCATCTGAAATGAGAGGGCTTAAATACAAGGCAGCGGCAATCAAAGAAAACAGTCGTTGTGGATACAAATTCTCAACTAGCATCGTGAAAAACCAGTAGAAGCTATGTAATTCGAACCCTTGAGAGCTCACCAAGCTGACAAAAATTATTCAAAAAAAATCATGGATGTTCAACATTTTCTAGATTCCGGTTTCAAAATGCTCGTTTATCACACACTTCTTATTCAGGTATTAAAATCACTAAAACAACGAAATTGATCATGTTCGTGACGGTGACATCACACAATTGCAAAAAAAGTCTCCAACTTTAACTCTTAAACAGTGTTTAAAACAATCTGTGAGCCCTCCTTTTCTAGCATGTTGACATCATCAAACAATTGACATCACCCACTTCTGTAGTTTTGACTCTGCGGGAACGACGTCTGTGGCCGATATGAGCTCTGTGGATATTGCTGGCCTGCACCAGTATACTCATTCGGTCTCTCTCCACCATAATTGGCGCCGTTGCCAAAACCAGCACTTGTGGGCTGCTGTTCCAAGTAATTCCCATAGACAGGCAATTGCTGAGCTTGGTTGCCAGGTTGGCTTGGAGAAGGGCCCGTGGCTTGGTGTTGATGCTGAGCTTGCGATTGCTGAGGGTATTGCAGCTGTGCATGTGCGGGATATGGAAGCGAGTAGTTCAGCTGCATGTTTTGTCTCTGGGAAATCATGTTGTCAATCAGACTATTGTATATCTTTGTTTCTGTGTTCATTTGGTCGTTCAATGCACGGAGCTCGTCCCTCCGAGAGCTGTGTTTCTCAATAAGCTGAGCCAAAACTGGCTTCAAGGGCACGATGCTATTATATAGTTCCGTGACCTCTTCCTCCAGCACCGTGTTTGGATCCATCGAAAGAAGGGCCAAAAGCCTGTCAACTTTCTTAGATTCTATCTCCATTAGGGCAGTCTCGAGCTTGTGTTCCCTTGCGAGCTCCTCAGGTGTTTTTGACACCACAGGTGAAACATAATTGAGTGGAAAAATCCCAACTTTTCCGGTGGGCAAAGACCCCCTCCACCAGTCTCGATATACGGACTCAATCACAGTGATCACGTCGCCTTTTCGAAATGAGAGCTCGTCTGGCTCATATGAGATCAAGTCGTACAATGCCACGACCTTCTTGACACTAGCAATTGTGACGGTGTCTGGGTCGTTTTTTGTCCCTGAGCCACCAATACTACCGGCATGATCCTCTTGAGCGCTGCTGTATGAAGCGCTACTTTTGTGCTGGTTTCCATCCTTTTCACCGGCCTGAAGAGGGGAAGGAAGTGGCTTTGAGTCCAAGTACAGTTTACGGATGCTTTGCTCGCGTTCGTATTCTTGCACAGACAACTTGAGCGCCCTTTCAAGCTCCAAATCTTCGTTTTTGCGGTCTTGCGTTGTCATTTCTGTCTTTGCAGGCTTGCTCGGGGGCGACTTCAAGTACTGCAGGTATTTTGACTGAACGGTGGCGTAGGCATCAGAAACGGCCTTCAACGATGGATCCTTTTTGAACGACTTGTCGAGCTGCTCAATGACCTCGGCGATGCGGAACTTGAGTTCCTTGTGCACTTTCCTATCGGCCAATCTGCTCAACAAACAGTCCTTCAAAAACAGCAGCGAAGCGATTTCTTGTTGCATACGAGACCCACAGTTTTCGCCCATTGCCACAAGAAGCGTTAGTGCTCGGAGAACGATGTTGGCGTCTTTTTGGCCGAGCCTGCCCCGGACGAGCTTGATGGCGGCTGGAATATTTGTTTCTGGGTCCGACAGAATCGTGTCACAAACATCTAAAATATGCTGCCAGTTGTCAGCGGTCAAGGCGGGATCCGTAGCTGTGATTATCTGCAGTTCAAGCGTCATTATTTGGAGAATTTGCTGATTTTGGCGGGGTATCTTGTTGGTTTGGAGGCACAGATTGTAGCCGATGCTGGATGCTTCTTTGCTTCGATGGATATGTGGCCTATTCAAATCAGGAGTAAAGGCAAGCGAAATTCAGTTCTTCACACTTAGCTAGTCAAATTGGGAAGATTGGTAGCAATCAACAATTTTTCAGAGTATGTCTGATTCAGGTAGTATGTCTGGTTCAGGTAGTATTAGAGTGGCGGAGTTGGGATACTGATATGGTCGCGAGCCACAGGCGGGCTCCTGTGTGCACTCCTGGGGCCCCCGAAATAGATTGCGAATCATAAATACTTCCTGTTGCACTTAAGCGTTATAATGTTACATCAAGATGCCGAATTCAAGCAATGCTTGCAGCTAAGCACTATTTTTTCATTCTGTGAAAAAAGAGAGATCTGAGGCCGCGCTCATGAAAAGATGGTGACTGGGAGTTCATGTGGCAGAGCTGCCCCAGAGACTCATACTCTAAATCTCTCGAACAATAGTGAACAAGGCTCAAAACTTGAAACATGAATTCCAAGCTCAAAAACATTTGTAGTCCTTTCTCATATTGCAATGATGTGTGGTTCGGGTACAAGATATCGAGGAACCAGGGCCCCAAATTACTTGTCACGTGAGTTCCCGGTAGCCACACTACAATATTTGGGGCTCAGCCTGGATTTCCTTTTCAATCCTCGAAACTTTGTGAACTGAGTATGGTGACCTCAAAAAGAGACTCCGTTGGAAGAAAATCGGCATGTTTTGCCGGTCCTCATCTCGAGACCCCATTCGCATGGAATATTCCCCAAACCGAGAAAACACCCAATGGTCAGAATTTAGAAGTGGTCTCTAGCGGATTTTACACTTCTCAAAACACAGGCTTCTGAAAGACAAGGAAGAGTCGTATGATTATGCTAGTGGCTAGTCCAGAGGCACATACACGTGTAACTATTCCCGCGTTCCGCTAGGTCACGTGATAATCCATGTCACGGGTGCGTGCACCGACCGCGATACCTGAGCATTCCCGTACTCCTTTTACGAAGAAAGAGCCCTCTTTCACGACCAGAGAGTTTGAATTGCCACGACTCAGAAATTCCTCTTCTGGTTCCTGCACAAAATATTTTTACATGGAAGGCTTCAGGGGCTCCATGCAGAAAAGCACTGCTATCGGCACAATCTGTAGGTTGTTGTCCGTCTCCCTGTTTTCCCGCGGGTGCAAAATGGGGTTTCCCCGATTTGCAGCCTGAGGGCACGACATCACAACACCCGTGCACCTCACAGACACGCGACACAGGACTGCATCTAACACTTTTTCTTTTCACTTCGCGGCACGCTTTGGTGATGTTTTCCTGTGAGCTTCCAGAGGTGCTTTCCAGGGTCTCTTTGCAAACCCAAGACACGTTCAGATCGAGAGCCCTAGACTTTGGTTTGTCTTCTCGGACTCAAAGTATTCTTTTTCTGAAACGATACCGAATTTCGCATATACATCAACGTGTGAATCTGGGTGTTAAGAATGAGACAAACCTCAGACTCCACTATTTCTCAGGCGGCCCGCAAAGGTGTCTCTGGGGGCAATAACAATGTCGGAGAATCCTCTGCAACTGATTATTCGACTGCGAATTCTTTGCAAAGACGACAGCAGAGAGATGGAGCCAAGCTAGCGGAGCCAGAGTCACGTTTAGAGAGCGGCTCCTCCAACAGTATTTTGCTGACCTACAGGGAGATTTCCCAACATCACGCGTGGTTTTTCCCATGCCTCATCATTCTAGCTCATTTTGCCGTGTTCTTCATGACCGACGAGAAATCAGATGTGCACCAAATGTTAGCCAAGATGATGACTGTGTCGTATCACATCGAGGGCACTGACCAGTACGGTAAAGGCGAGTACGACTTTTACTTTGTTGGCTTCTACTCCCTCTGTTTCACTTTTCTCAGAGAGTTTATGATGGTTTGTATCTTTCGCCCTGCTGCACTCTATTTTGGCATCCGCAAAGAAACCAAGATCAAGCGCTTTATGGAGCAGACATACTCCATGTTTTACTACGGCATGCTGGGCCCTTTTGGCTTGTGGGTAATGTCACGTACCCCGCTCTGGTTGTTTGAAACCACACCTTTCTACTTGGAGTACCCACATACCACCCATGACATCTACTTTAAAGTATACTACCTTGGCCAGGCGGCATTCTGGGTGCAGCAGTCGGTTGTGCTCCTGTTGCAGCTCGAGAAACCCAGAAAAGATTTCCACGAGCTTATCGCGCACCACATAGTGACTATAGCTTTGATTTGGAACTCTTACGCATTTCACTTCACCTGGATGGGTTTGGCTGTGTACGTGACGATGGACGTGTCTGACTTTTTCCTTTCTTTCTCAAAAACTTTGAATTACTTGGGCTCCCCGCTTGCAGGCCCGTTCTTTGTAATTTTTGTGGGGGTGTGGATCTACTTGAGACACTGGATCAATTTGAAGATTATTTGGTCTGTGATGACCGAGTTCCTTACGGTGGGCGAGTGCACGTTGAACAACGCTACGCAGCTGTACAAGTTTTGGTTTTCGCAACCAATCGTTTTGGGCTTGTTGGTTGCCTTGCAGCTTCTTAACTTGTACTGGCTCTTCTTGATTTGCCGCATTCTCTACAGATATGCGGTGGGAGGAGTTGCCGCTGACGAGAGATCCGACGAAGAGAGCGATGGTGAGACCACAGTCGACGCTAAGAAAGAGGAGTAACTGCTAGACAAGCCACAAAGAGTAGGCAGGACCCGTGCTAATTACGAGGATGGATACCACGAGGCTTCTTGCTGACAGTGTATGGTGCCCAGAACTGCCAAGTCGTATAGAATGGCACTATATACATATAGAATAAATGCATGCTTGATACTTTACGGGTAATGTTTAGACAGCCTGCTCGGTCTCAGCGGTGGGAGCTCTGTCGGAGGTTGCCACGTCAGTGGCCACGCTTTCTGTAGCCACGCTTTCCGTAGCCACGCTTTCCGTTGCCGCATCGCCCGTCTTCTTCTCCATCTCCATCTTAGTAGCTGCCAACGAGGCCCCCTGCGCCTGCTTGTAGTGGGCAAATGCCAGCTTTCTCTCCTGCACCCCCTCCTGGGCGGCCCTCAGCAAAACACCCAAGATGAGCGACGACGCACGCATGGAGTCGTCGTTACATGGCACTGGGTATGTCAACAACGTCGGCTCCATGTTGGTGTCACAAAGCCCAATGGTTGGGATGCGCAGCTTGATGCTCTCTCCAATACAGTTTCTGTTCTCGACCGGGTTCATCAACACAATCAAGTCAGGCTTGATGATCGTGCCCTCCGTGGTCGTGAAGTACTTGCCTGTGGGCTCGTCAGCGAGGTTTACCAACGCCTTCTGGGGCCCCAGGATCTGGCGCGAAACCTCCGTGAAGTTCGTGATGGTGCCGGGGATCCAGCGGTGAGTCACGCAGTATGCGTTTGAGCGGCGTGCGGCCTCTTCCAACGCCACCTGCTGCTCCTTGAGCCGCGAGGTGCCGACGTAAAGAATGACACCGCCTTTGGCAGCGACCGCGCGGGTGACCTTGGCGGCCTTGCGCAACGCAACCAACGTGTGGTTGAGATCAATGAGGTGCACGCCCTGGTACTCACCGTAGATGAAGGGCTGTGTGGACGGTCTCCAGAGCGCCTTGGCGTGGCCCAAGTGGCACTCCGCGGCCATCAATTGCGCGATAGAAAGCTCCGAAACAGACCGCGGGTTGAACGTGTCCTCACTGGGCTCGTAGACCTGTGTCTGGTGCGTTCCCAAGTGGCCCGTGTGGCCCACGTGCGCCATATGTCTCAAGAAGAGCTCCTGTTCCGAGTAAGCCTTATAGTCTGGGGTGGGCTGCAAGTTGGGGAACTGGTGCGCAATAGAACCGCTGCTGGTGGTGCGGATCCGCTGCGCCGGGGCGCTGCCCACCTGCCCAGTGCCATCTTTGTGGTTTTCGGAGGACCTGGTCCAGGGCGCATATCCGACTTCGGCCGCGGGCAAGCGCATGCTCTCGAACAAAAAGTCTTCGATCTGCTCGTCGAGCTGCTTGACATTATTCTGGTCCGGAAGCAGGTCGAGCTGGCTCTGCAAGTGCAGCATGCGGTCTTCAAGCGCCTGCGAGGGAGTGTTGTTCAACGCGTGCACAGCAAGTCGGGTGCGCTCCTTCAACTCCCGCAAGGCCTTGGCCTTCAACATGGCCTGCTCCTCCTTTGCGAGGGCCTCGGCCATGACTTTCTCCCGCAATTTCTGCTGGGCAACTTCGGCCAGCGCAGGCTCGGTGGCCGTGTCACGTGTGCCGACGGTAGCGGTCGAGTTCATGCGAACCATCCCGCCCACGAGCCGGCGCTGGCACATGGTGCTCCGTGCCCTTCCAGAAATTCTGAGCATTTTAGGTTGTTCAGGGGGCGTTTCGTGGCGGTTTGTGCGTGGTTAAACGTGCCGTGGAGCTGGTGGTGGTGCGCCTGGTACAGGTGCGCTTTAAAATTTTCTCCGGCGCGCACGTGACCCGCCCAGGCCAGACACCCGTCGAAGAACAGGCCCCGAAGGAGCAGCGATATGCCGCAGCGGCAAACGATCCGGAGCCGTAGGACGGATCCGGAAGGCTTGGCGGAACAGGGCCGGGGAATTCCCACGGGCGACCAGGGCCAGCCCGCGTCACGTGACCTGCGGGATGGCGGGCTTGTAGGGCACACCGGCGGGGTTCCCGCCCGGGGGCATTCAGAGTGGGTACTTGGAGCCAGGCGAGCCCTGCCGAGGCGTGCCATACCGGTGCCGGCGATTTCTGGAAGCGTGGCCGTCCAGTTTTAAGAATTAGGCCATGCACGACCGCACGGGCCCGCCCGGCCGCGGGACCAAGATGATAGCCCCTCCGGATACGCGCGGCTGTCATTTGGAACAAGGGCGGCCCCAAAGCCAAAACACCACCCAGAACCACCAAAACAGGCGGAACACAAAATGCAAAAATACCCCAAAAAAATCAATAAAAAAATGCCGTTGAGTTGCGGCAGAGCAGCTGCCTGTTTCCTGGCCATTTTTCCGCCCACCAAATGCAAAACATCAAGGGTGTTCCCAGCTGACGGGAAACATTAGGGCGGGTGGTCAAAAAAACAGTGGTGGGAAAACACAACGGTTTTGACGGGGCCGCCAGGACAGAAACCGAGGAGACTGCAACACGCGGTTTTGGTGCGGGCCCCAATTCTAGCGAGGCGCGGCATCAGCATATTGCGCTGGGCGCGCCAGAGCGGCCTGGACCAGGGCTCGGGATCCGTGTGCTTCTTCATTTATATCGACCTGTGGGCTTAAAGCGGCAGGGAAGAAAGTAGATTGGTGTATGCGATAGACCGCCACGAAAGACGGCGAGCCACAAGAGCTAACAGTCTGGGCTGGTGTAAGAGTTGCAGAACTGCCGCAATAGTGGAGAAGAACGAACTGAGTAGTTGGGGGAACGAACTGAGTAGTTGGGGGAACAAACTGAATAGTAGAGGGGAACGAACTGAATAGTGGAGGCGAACGAACTGAATAGTGGAGGCGAACGAACTGAATAGTAGAAGGGAGCGAACTGAATAGTTGGATAGACCTACTTGGGAAGTAGCGGAGAACCACCTGGATAGTTGAGGAGAGCTGCCGGAATAGCTGAGGAGAACCACCGGAATAGTAAGACAGAAGCGCCGGAATAGTCGAAGCAAACGAACTGGAAGTTGGATAAAACTACCTGCGAAGTTGTACAGAAGTACCTGGAAAGTTGGACAGAACTGCCGGATAGCCGAGGCGGACAAGCTGAATAACTGGACAGAACTACTTGGAAAGTCCAGGAGAATCACCAGAATAGTTGGCGAGAACTACTCGAATAGTTGAAGCGAGAGAACGGATTGTTGGATTAAACTACCTGGAACTTAGGATAAAACTATCTGGAAAGCTGGACAGAACTGCTTGGAAAGCTGAACAGAACTATTTGGTAAGTTGGAAAGAACCATTTGAAAAGCTGGACAAAATTTCCTGAATAGCCGAGGCGGACAAGCTGAAAGCTGGATAGAACTACCAGAAAAGAACTGCCAGGAAAATTGAGGAGAACTTTTCGAAAAGCTGGCCAGAACTACTTGAGAAGTTGAAGCTAACGAACTGAACAGTTGGCCAGACCTATCCGAAAAGCTCGACAGACCTACCCGAAAAGCTCAACAGAACTACCCCAAAAACTCGACGGGGCAAAAGACAGGAAGATTCGAAGAAACAGAGTGACCAGTCACCCAAGAATCAAAAGGACCACAGGGCTGCTCAAAGCGTGACAGTCCTACACTGGCAAACCAGAAATTTCAAGATACAAGGCCTCCGGCTAGAGGAAACAAGAAGGCAGAAAACAGGGCAGTTCACAACAGGGCAGTTCAAAAACAGACAAAACGGCCTAGAGAGACCAGGGTTTCCTCACGCCTCACCAAGAGCAAAGCACGCAGACACACTGTTCTCGTGCGTCCGAAAACAACTGCGGTTGAGCAGACGCTATTTTCACACCCCCGCCGCACCCAGAGCACCATGAACGTTGCTTGTCTGACCAGCCTCGCCGACTTCATCCACTGCGTGGTCTCACAGGCAGAATCCCCGGACAAAACGAAAACCAATCCAGACTTCGCCGGGGCGCCCAGGCGCATTTTCGTCTTCTGTCACGAAGTCCATCTTTCTGGCCTCACCGTCCCGGGCGCAGAGCTCTCGATCTCGCAGATCAATGCCCTCCGCCGAGTCTCGATAATTTCCGGCGCGTCCCACGACGCTGTTCTCGAGATGATCCGAGCGGCATGGCTCGAGCCACGTGACGCAGCAGGCGTAGTGTGGGCATTCTACGACTTGGTCTCGGAATGGCCCGCGTCTGCCCTCGAAGACGCGGCGGCCGTCAGCCGTGTGTTGTACATGTTGGCCCGGAGCTGTGCTCTGAAGACCCCGCCGAAAGCCGTGTTTCTAAACGTCCCGGCGCCCGGCGAAACCGGCGAGGCGCGTGTTGCCCCCGAGATCCGTGGTCTCGTCTCGAAGTGGACACGGCCGGGTGGCCCTACAAGTTGATACTCGTTCTTCTCTTTTATTACACTCACACAACACGGGATCACTTGGTCTCCTCGACACCTTCGTCGCCTTCGTCGTCACCATCGTCGTCGCCAGCCGCGGCGTTCTGGCCCAATTGGCTGGCCAAGGCGCTGATGTCAAAGTCTCCGCCAGCACCACCGGCACCGCCGGCGCCTGCAAGCAACTGCGAGAAATCCATGCCGCCAGGGCCGCCCATGCCAGGCATACCGCCCATGCCAGGCATACCACCCATGCCAGGCATACCACCCATGCCCTCCATGCCGGGCATACCGCCCATGCCGCCCATGGCAGCCATTGGGTCCTCCTCCTCGGCCTGCTCGTCCTGCTCGTCCTCATCGACCCACTTGTCGAAATCCGTCTTGATGTAGTGCAACTTCAACTTCTCCTTCAAAAGACGGGGCCAGAACTCGGCCTGTGCGGTCTTCTTGCGCAAGACGTACAGTATGTGGCTACCGCTCTCGTGCTTGTACGAGTTTTCTGGGTCGATCTCGTCGAAAAAGTCCAAGTTCAACTCGTAGTCGGTGGCCTTGTCCGACGACTGGGCGGTGAACTTGAGCGAAGTGGCAGACAAGTCCAACTTCACGTCCACGGGGTCTTGCACCTGGATGGTCAAGTAAACGACGTTTTTCGCGGGCTCGCTTTCGCTGGAGCGCTGGGCCCATAACACAACGGGGTGGACAGCCATGATGAAGATTTGTGGAGTTGTTTTGGGGTGGTCTTGACGTCGAGTTTGGAACTCAAGTGTACTTTGGTGGATAGCTGGGTAATCCGGTTTTTGGACTACGCGTTGCAGGAATTGAGTGTCTCGCTATGAAATTCAATTTTTTCGAGCACTTGGAAGGGTTCAAAATGGACGCTGTGCGGTGGGGTTTTCGAATATAAACTGTCCTCAAGGCGTTTGCGGGTGCCGACGGTTATATACGCCGCGGGCGGTTCGTTCCAGAAGCTTCGATCACGTGACGCGCTGGGACGGGCAGCGTGCTGGGTAATTTGGCCGTGGATGAATTGTGCAAGTACAAGAGCGAGTTGGCCCAGTGTCACGCCACATTTATGGGTGCAATTGCTGCTCTTTGGCTGCTGATCCGCTGGATTCGTTCTAGCTGTCCAACCCAGAACCGAGCGGCCAAAGCCGGCTTGAGCACGTTCAAAAAAAAAAAAAGAAGAAAAAAATCAGACACGGATGGCAAGACGTGGTTGGAAAGAGATGGCGTTGAGTGACTGGTACATTGCACCCTTGAAGAAAAGATAAAGCTCCTACTGACGGAAATTGAATGGCAATCAAATGGAGGCACATGAGCTCTTTTGCTGCGAGCGATTGCAATCAATTGCACAACATGACAGCAGCAGCGGCCCTGTCATTGGCTGAATTGAAGGCAGCCTAAGAAAAATCCATGGGCTTGAAAACAAAAATACAGCTGGCAAAAATCTCTTCGTTTTTCGATCCGCTTGTGGTTCTTGTGTTCCCAGCACCTCGCTATTAATTGGGACAAGAAATGCGACCTGCAAAGACCACGGGAAATGAGGCTCAGTATGACTAGACTCCCCACAGAAATGGCCCGGGCTACTTTTTGAAAGTTCAAAACCGGAGACGCCACCGTTTGTGTTTCACCGGAGTGGTGCTCAAAAATCAGCCGACTCTGTGTTCTACCATGACTCCTCACATCTAGCCACTCATGGCAGATATTAGCCGAAAGCCTTCCGCATGTTCGCACCGCCCGGGTTTGGGTTATGATAAGCGATGGGACCCCCTCGTCACGTGCCGCATGGCCCTGCGAGGTCTCGTGCCGATAAGCCGAGACCCGTACCTTCCTCCACATGGCCGCACCCAATATCTTATGTTGCTTCCCCACAGTCCGAAAACCCATGGCCCAGGATGCTCACCGAATTGCCTTTGGAAATCCAGGTCCGGCTCCTTCAGCTTGTCCCCGGCAGCCTGCTCAAGTACACCAACTCGTACTTCTACCTTTTGTACAATGACCTATTTTGCGACAAGCTCGTGAGGGTCTACGGGGACGATGCACTTGTCATACTAGCGAAAGTGTACCGATGGTTGCGCACATACATAAAGTCCTTGGACACTTTCCGGGCCGAGTCTCGGCACGTGATATGGTCCAGGCGGAATTTGAGCGACTGGGCTTCTGAGACCGGGAAAACCGGCGGATCGGTGTCCCCACAAGATATGACCCAGGCCCAGTATATTGCCGACTCATGGAGATACGTGTACGCGCTATTCCGGAATAAGCGCATGTTCGCCGAATACTCTGACTACAAGATCGACGAGCCGACAAACTACGTGTACAACCATTACGTGGAGATAAATCGCACGTATCTTCTCTCATACTGCAAGACCGCGTGGCTCGCGCCAGGCCGCTACAACTTGAACATTGGGCTCGTAGTCAAGCATGGCAGGGGACTTGGCACGACGAAATTCGAAATCAAGTACCGAACAGCCGAGGGCGACGACACGACTTTGACGTTCAATCCGCCGACAAACATCCGCGACATCTTGCCGAAAAAGCGGTTCTGCTTCTTGAAAATCGGCGAGTTCGAGATCCCTCCGCTACCACAGGACACCACGCTCGCTTCGTCTCCGTACCACCACCACAACTTGTACAAAATACAGCTCGTTATGGAAGAGATCGGGCTTTACTTGAAGTCTGGCTTCACGATTTTTTTCATTGACATCTCGCTGCCGTCCGTGATCTTCAACGACTACGACCTTCTTTTCTACTCATGCCAGGAAACAAACTACAAGTACTTCATCAACTTGCCGCTCAAGAATCTCTATAAAGCACTCAATTATGTGCAGAACGGAAGCGACGATACCTATGACAGCATTGAGCCCTACGGCCAGGCCAATCCAGATGACATCGAGTCCGAGTACGCGCAGGACTACGACTTGGATCCGCACCTCAAGTTCGCTAGCTCTGATGAGCAGCTTTTGGCGTACGCGGACTTTTTCTTCAAAAACACCTTCAACAAACGGCAGTTCAAGTTCAACACCATCTATCAAAGACGGCAGTTCGTGAACAGGTTTGGGGAGTTTGATCCCGAAGACGACGAAGATGAGGCGCGCAATGTATGCACCTACGACAGGGAGGGGCTCAAGTGGCGCATTCCTATACTCGGCGAGCTTTGATTTTTCCGGACAGGCTAAACTTTGAAGATCCGTTGCTGTTTACTGGGTTTTGATAATCCGTTCCACGGCGAGTCTCTCTTTGGCGATCTTTGATGCATCACCTGTATAGAATGAGCTAGAATCAAACAATATCAATAGACTTCATTTAAGCTTGCCCGAACGTACTGCGCGTATATCTCCCGATCCATGGCGCTCAAAGATTCTTCATTCAAGAAGGATTCGTTGGGCATCACTGTGGTCGTCAGCTTGAAATATAGTTCGGAGTCCGCCTGCGAAGTCCGGAACGTGGGAGCAATTGATTCGAAGTGAAGAGGAGGCATCTTGGGGGGCAGGAACTGACTCGAGTACACATGCATATCCGCTTCGCTCACTTGCACCTCCTTGTACAAGCTGTGCGGATGCGCAGGTCCCGAACCACGGACCCAGTTGCCCGGGGCGAGTTGCTCTGCTAGCACCACATTCGCTGGCTCGGAGAGATGCTGCCTGCTGGAAGGGGCCTTTGTGATTGACAGATTTCGCTCGCCCACGGGCTTGGAGGAGAGCAAGCGGGAGACGCGCACGGAGACCTTCCCTTCCAAGCGGCCGTTTTCCAGCCGTTTGTGATCTTGAAGATGCGCATTGTCTTGCGGCTCGTCTGCCTCGTCTATCGGGCGCATGCCGTCCAGGCCGTCGCCGCTTTCGCCGGCCTTCTTTTTGAAAAAAGGCTTGCGGGATTCGAAAGGGCTATAGTCGAAGTTCTTGGGGGTCGAGTTCAAGTTGGAAGGGAAGTAGCGGACGTTGGAGTTCATGTTGAACTGGAAGAGGTCGCCGAAGGACTCGAATTTGCGCTGGCCGTAGCACTCGTTGAACCAGTTGTCGCTCGAGTCCGCGGCCGCGTCCGGGCGCCTTTGGGGCTCCGGCAGGACGTCGGGCCTGTCCTGGAGAAGGCCGCGGGTGTCCTGGAGATACTTTGCGTTGTACCAGTGCATGTAGCTGGGCTTCTCCAGCAAGGGCAGCAGCATGAGGGTGTTGTGCAAGTAGAAGTCGTTCTGGAGCTCCCATAGCTTCAACTTGCGCGGGTGGTACACGTAGTTGCCCAAGAAGAGATTGATGGCCTCCTGGCGGATCAGGTCCATGAACGAGTTGGAGTAGATGCGCTTGATGCTGTTGAGCACGTCGCGTGTGTGCGAAGACCACTGGTTGATTCTGCGGTAGGAGTCCATGGTGTTGACGAGGTTGGAGCCGCCGTACTGGACGGCGATGGTGTCGCCGTGGTCGTGGAACATCTCGGTGAGGATGTTGATGAGGTCGGAGTCGTAGTCCAAGTCCGTCGCGGAGGCAATGAGCCCCAAACTCTGCAACTGGTGCGAGAGCGCCTCCTTGAAGATGATGAACTGCGCGGCGTTGGTCCTGTCCAAGCAGTCGATGCAGTTGGTGCGGACGACGCCGCGCTGGAGCCTGGTGGAGCGGAGGTCCCTGCCGTTGTGGAAGAAGCCCGTCTGCTGCACGGCGTTGCGCGCGATCTGCTGGAGCGGCGTGATCACGTCGAGGTTCTTGCGCAGGTGCTTGGACATGTCGAACGAGTGGTACTGGAGCCGCAGCGCGCGCGGGAGGAACTGGTTCAAGTAGGCCACGCAGCTCTCGAAGTGGCGGTTCAACTTCAGCTCGCGCGGCTGCTTCTCCTTGGTCTTGATCAAGTTCAACACCACCACGGGCAGCCCGTAGCGCCGGAAGAGGTTGTTGAAGTGCAAGGCCGAGCTCTGGTAGAACGGGTCGGACAAGTGGATCTCGATGGGCGGCTTGGGAAGCCGGTTCAAGTCCTGGGTCCAGCACAACGGGATGGAGCCGCGGTGCTGCACGAAGCTGGTGTGGCGGGGGCTGGCGTACACGCCGTGCGCCGGGTCGTGGAACGACGACGTGAGCATGTCCAGCACGATCTGCTCGGTCTCCACCTCGTTGGCCACGTTGCCGCGGTCGTTGGCGCCGCGCTTCAAGAACCGCGCGCCCGCAAAGTGCCGCGAGCGCCGCGCGATGATGGTGATGTAGATCTTGCGCCCGTAGATCAGCACGTTGGCCTGGTCGATGAAGCCGTGGACGAGCGGCTGGAACCACTCGAACGCGGCGATTTCCGGCTGCGTGAGCACCGGCTCGAGGAGGAGGCTGTTCCACATGAACCGCGCGTTGTGCCCGCCCGCCGCCGCCCGCCCGCCGCCGCGCCGCTGCGCCATGCAGTTGTGCTGCAACGAGTTGGTGATGTCGTACGTGTAGCTGAAGTAGAACGTGCGGCCCAAGTCCAAGTACTTGAAGATCAGGAGGAGCCGCTCCTCGTCGCTGTACTTGTCCGGCCGGCGGTACGCGAGCGAGAGCGGCACCAACTTGGTCTCGTCCACGTGGTAGAGGTAGTGGCCGCCCACCACGGCCACCTGGCTGCACTTGGTGACCACCAACAAGTAGTACTCGCGCGTGAACCGGATGAGCCCGGCGAGCCCGTACGCCTGCGCCACCTTGTGGATGCCGCCCTCCACCAGCTCGTTCAAGCCCTCGAGCAACCCCGCCATGTCGTTGCGCGTGTAGAAGTAGCTGCGGATCTCCAAGAGCTGCGGCGGCCGCGCCGCGTCCTTGTCGGCGGCAATCTCCATGATGCGGAACAACGACTCGCGCGCGTTGCTGCCCACGATGAACATGGTGGACGCCAGGTTGTAGATGGTGAAGCGCTGGAGAATGAAGCGCTTGCTGCCGGGCTCCGGGCCGGGCTCGGCGCCGCATGCGCCGCGGGAATTGTTGTCGTTTTGCGCGCCGTGGGGCCGCTGCTCGTGGCTGCCGCCGGCCGCCGGCTCCGGGGGCGTTTTTGTGTCCGAAGGGGGCTCTTTGGAGTCGCTGCTGGGCGGCCTATATGGGGCCTGGCCGTATGGCGGCCGCGTCTCGGTGCCGTCGCTGGGCGCCATGGGCCTGTTTTTGTGTTTTTGTGTTTTTGTGTTTTTTGGTTCGTGTTTTGTGGTTTGTGGTTTGTGGTTTGTGGTTTGTGGTTTGTGGTTTGTGGTTTGGTGTTTGGTGGGTTTGGTGGTTATGGAAGTAGTAGTCTGGTGAGGCCCGGCCTATGGTGAGTAGCGCGCCTGTGCCATGGCCAGGTCACGTGCGCACCCTCCGGCCCTCCTGGGACAGGCCGGTCCGGAAACAGCGTAGGGGTTCGGCCGGCGGGCTTTGGTGGGGCGTGGGAGCTGGAGGGTTTTTGGATGAAAAGAGGTTTTGAGTTTTGGTGGGTTTCTGGGGTCCGGCTGGGATGTTGCCTGCGTTCTGGGTGACTGCTGGAGGGCTCTGGAGGGCAGTTGAATATTAGAGAGGTGTCGGGCAAAGTTTTGGTTGTTTGTAATCAGCAACGTTTAAGTTGATCTGATTTGAATTTGGTTTTTGTTTTCGTGAACTATGGTATGTACTTTTGGTTCTTTTTTGAAACCATCCAGGATTTTGAGAGTGCATCTGTGAATGTATTAATTCGCAATCTTTTCGTGAACTACAGTATTTTGAGAGGTACCGGGAAACAAATTAGTTGAATATTCGACAGATATTGGCGAATGTTGTTTTGATTGAAACAATCTTCCAGTGTCAACATTTGTTTTCTTCCTTTATTCATCATAGTCACGTTGGTATTTATTGTGGTTTTTGTTTTGAAATCATCTTAAATTTGGGGAGTAGCACTATGAATATTAATTGATTCGCAATTTCTTTATTCATCGTGAACTGCAGTAATTTGAGGAGACACTGACGAGCAGAACAGTTGAATTTTAGTTGTTTGATACAAGCAACGTTCAAGTCGATCTAATTTTATTTTCATTTTTTCTTTTCATTGAGCTATGTGATTCATCATAGTGCGTTGTTGTGTACTTTTCGTTTTTATAAATGATCTAGATTTTGAGAATAGTCTTTTTATTCATCAACTACAATACTTTGAGGAGATACCCTAAAAGAGGATACTGAAATATTCTACAGATGTTGGGCAGATGTTGTTTTGGTAACAACAATCGTCTGAATTTATTCTTTTTCTTCCTTTCACTGAACTATATTTTTTATCCCAGTCACGTTGTTATTTATTTGAAATGTTTATTTTGAAATCATCCAGGATTTAGAGAGTAGCACCGTTAATATTAATTGGTCCGCAATCTTATTTTTTTCATTATAAATTACAATACTTTGAGGAGATGCTGGGAAACAGAATAGTGAATATTTGAGAGATGGTGACAGAATTTGAGCTGTTTTGATCACCAACCTCTAGTGTTGATTTACATTTTAGCTGTTTTGATTGATAGAAGCAATGGACAGGTGTTAAATTTTGTCTTCTGCCTTTATTCATCATAGTCACGTTGGTCTTAATTATGGTTTTTGTTTCGAAATCATCTAGGATTTGGAGAGTAGCACCGTGATTGATTCGCAATCTTTTCTTTCATCAACTCCAATACTTTGAGGAGACACCGGGAAACAGGTTACTTAAATATTCGACAGAGGTATGGCAGCATGCAAGCTGTTATGATTGATTGCAACAATCTTCTAAGGCACAATTTTATGTTTGTAACAAGTCATCTAAAATACAGACATAAGAACTGTATATACATGTAGCATCGCCGTCACCTATTCAATCATAAATTGCAATATCCCTGGAGATAATGGGAATCATAGCAGCTGTTTGATATGGTATTGAGCTACTACTGGCAACATATTTTGATCATTAATTGAAAACATGCTGGTTCCATGGTAGCTTCACATAAATGTTCCATCAGAAACTGGGTTGCATATCAGGTCATATTCCTTACACATTTGACAATCAATATTGTAGCTCCATTATACAATAGCCGTTTGATAGACGCACCGAGTGATGGGCCAGGCTGTATATTGTTCATCTATGGGGCCGGAGGTTGTGCTGGGAATAGTGTATGTACCTTTAATATGACATGAAATGAGGGGTGCCATACGGATTACCTATTTACTCAGAGACGTGCCCATCTGAGCGTACTTGAGAGGCTAGGAAATTCGGGTAGCTCTAATATGTATGGAGTGTCTCCAGAGGTGTTTGACGATCGTGACCCGGTGGGAATGACGTGACGATAATTGAGGGAACTACTGGATAGCTGAGGGAGACATACTGTTGGTGCCATTGATATGTAGAATTACTCACGGCGCTAGAAATACCGTGACATGGCGAATACGCAGGTGTACTATTTGAGAACAGCACTGACATGGCCATTGGTATGCATCATGTTCGAAGGTGACACTTCTACTGGATATCTCGGCCAGAGACGGCACTGCAGCAGCTATCATGGAAAAACACTGATGAGACAGCCACAGCCTGGTCTTGAGCATGGATGAATACCCGGGTCGCTGAGGAAAGCGGTGCTATGCCAACTACAACAAGGCGATTCCCAATGGCCTTCGAAAAAACTGGCCGAACCAGCAGCGGCTGGCCGATCTGTGCTCATAAGGCGGTTTGGAACGGCCACGATACCGACGCACGCTTCCTGCGGGCCCCGGGGCCGGCGCAAAACAAACTGCCCGGCAATATCGAGCCCTGCTGTTTCATCACGATACATTCCAAGGCGGGCGCGAGAGTCCCCTGAGGGCACCTCGCATCTCCTTACAGTCTCTGCAGACCGTGTTGTTCCAAGCCCGCAGACTTGGAAAACGGCGCAATCCACAGTGATGTGGACTTGCATGCCCCTGTTCCCACAAGGGCCACGTGGCGTTGTGGGACGGCCCCACAAACCCCGGCACGGCCGGCAAGAATGGCGTGCCCCGGCCCTCTAGATGCGCCAGTCAAGCTCATCGAGGCGTCTCCTCGTGGTGGCGCGCCGCTTGGAGCCGGCGTAGTCGTCGACCTCGCGGCGCATGTTCTCGCGCTTCAAGCGGCGCGAGTTGCGCTCGCGCTCGATCTCGCGCTTCTCGATCTCCCACGGACTCAAGATCTCGATGAACGGCTCCCACACCGCGTTGCCGTTGGAGATGCTGCTGTCGGTGCGGATGCGCACGTTCTTCTCGAAAATGAGCCCCGTGAGCTGCTGGTACTTGTGCAACTCGTGGTTGTAGGAGCCGTCGAGGATCTCCTTCTTCAAGCGGATGGTCAACTCGTGCAAGCTGTGGGCAATGGCCGGCTTGAACTCGCGGCTGAGCCCCATGTCCGCCACCACGATCTCGGCAAAGTCCTCGGGCGTCACGTCCGTCTGGTTCAAGTCCCACTCGAACTTGTCCTCGTACAACTTCTTGTCCAAGTTCACCAGGAGGTCCACGATCACGTGGTACTCGGCCGTGGCGGGCAACTGCAACGTGGACACGTAGCTGTACTCGTCGAGCTGCTTGGTGATGGCTTCCACGATCTCCAGGTGCACGTGCTGCGGCAACTCCAACTCCGCACAGAGGAGCGCGGCAAACGCGTCGGGCGTCACGAGCAGCTCGCTGGCGTTCCACATGAAGAAGTCCACGAGCTTCAGCATGCCGCTGTTGAACTCGATGTTCAACTTGATGGGCACCAACACGTGCTGCTGGGCGCCCATGTTGGCCCGTGCCGCGGCCGCTAACTCCGGCGCCACGTCGCCCACAACGTCCTCCAGCAAGCGCACGAGCCGCGCGGGCTTCAAAAGCCGCTTTTGTGCCGCCACCGTGGTGTGCACGCCGGCAATGGAAAACGCGTTGTTGCCCGGGATCTCCTCCTCGAAGTCGGCCTCGTCGTTGGCGTTGTCGAACTCGGCGTAGTTGATCTGCTGCGCGTTGCGCTTGGCGCTGCGCTCCTGCGGCGCGTTTGTGATCAAAAGTGCGCTGTCGGCGTCCTTGGCCAAGCGGGACGTGAGGCCCGTACTTAGCGCCTGCGGCGTGTAGAAATTGCTCTGGTACGCCAACGACATGGTGGACGGGTGTGTTGGGGTGGCTGGGTGTTTTGGGGTGTGCAGCGGGGAAACGGTGCGCTGGGGTGGGCTTTGGGGGAGATCGGTGGAGGGAAGGCCACGTGTGGAGTGGTTTTGGTAGATGGAGTTGTGGTTGTTTTCTGGTGATTGTTTTTGGCGCGGGAAGTTTTCGCGGTGTTTTCGCGGTGCTTTTGTGAGAACTAGACGCTTAGCCCTAATTAATCATGTGACAAATGAGACATTAAAGTTCGCACCACGTACCCGAAACCAAATAGCACGACAAGTATATAACGGGAAGAGAATTCCCTCTAGAGATCTTTTTAGAAGGTCAGTTGACACAAAAGTGGTTTTAGTTTTTCCTAAATAAAGGTTTATTTCCACACGCTAGTACATCATGTCGAATCCGATATCTCAACTGTACCAGTTGGGAACCACTTGTGGACAGGACATTGAGTTGGAATATCCTGTACTCAAGCAGAAATACAAACAGCTTTCGCTGGGTGGCCGCGCTGTTGTTCACGAGACTTTCAATATCAGATTTCTCATTTCAAGTATGTGCGGTGCTTAGGACCCTTGGAATCCTGCTATTCTCTGGAAACCCTTAAGGAGGAAATCGAACATAGAATATCCTCTCTTATGGGACAGAGTTTTCCCGTGCCTCGCAAGAGGTGACTACGTGGCGAATATCACGTGACAGAGACTGGGCCGGGCGGTTTTTTTTCCGGCTGCGGTGGAGGGCCGGGTTCCCTGGGGACTACCTGGGGTAGTCTGGGATGTCCTGAGATGTCCTGAGATTTTTTTGGTTTCCTTTGGTTTTTGGTTTCCTTTCCTTTGGAGTTTGGTTTCTTTTCCTTTGGTTTTGGGTTTTTTATTGCCTTTGGTTTTGGTTTTTTATTGCCTCTGTTTTTTCCAAACTTCACGGGCTTTTGGGAAGTTTACATTTTTTTGCCGGCGATTCACCTGGTTCGGTTATTAATTGTTGACATGGTGTACTTCTGGGATTTTTGGTGGACGAATTGACGGGGGACCAGGGCCGGCAGATTTACTGAATCGGCGCAGCGCTCGCTGATATGGCCCTGGAGCTCAGATATGGCCCTGGAGCTCGCTGGGATATGGCCTGGCAGAAAACGGAATGGCAGGTGCGGCTGCGGCCTGGGTTCATGGCTTGGAACCATGCTGGACCTCGAGCGAGAAAAAGAATGGTCTAAGACAGAGTATCTCAACCCAGAACGTTGGAGGTTGTTTTCACATGATTAAAGGTAGAGCCTGACTAGGAATATAAGTTTGATCACCCACACTTACGTATACCTTATATTATATAGATGTTGTGATTATATATAATATTTATAATTTGTTATATATAGTTAGTTATATACATGTAATAAAATATATGTCTGTCTGTCTGTCTGTCTGTCTGTCTGTCTGTCTGTCTGTCTGTATGTATATATGTATATATGTATGTATGTATGTATGTATGTATGTATGTATGTATGTATGTATGTATGTATGTATATAGGAATGTGGTAAATGTAGGGTATAAGTATTTAGGATAACTACTGAGAATCGAACTCAGA